CGGCCGAAAACTTGCCGAATCCACCGTTCTGCATGTCCTCGTTGCCGACGTAGACAGCTTCGACGGCCCACGGATTGCGAGCGTAGCCTTCACACACCGCCTGAATCTCCGCATCGATACGGCCAGGGTTTTGCAGCTGCACGCCCACAGCGACACGAATGCCGGCGGCAGCAGCCATGTCGACCGCGTTCACACCGGCCAATGAAGCCTCGTAGGTACGGATGCTCGAGAAGTGCTGGGCCACCTGCCTCATGTCGTTCTGCAGCACGTCCCAGTTAACGTTCTGGTGGTGCCACGGAGAGTAGCAGACACCGGTCTTGAGTCGTTCAGCGTCAGTGGAGCTGAAAGCCACAGCGGTGGCAACGGCGAAGGCGGTCGTGAACTTCATCACTGCTTTAGTAGCTGCAGAAAAGCTTAGAGGTTGTTGGTAGGTCCTTGTGTTCGACAAGGAAGAATGGAGAGTGAGGTTTGCAAAAGCAGCAAAGCAATTTGCTTTGGTGTTATGTGTGGTACTCGCTGCAGTTTGTGTAACGCAAAATGACAAAGTACGTTGTAACTTACTACAAGGAGTAAAGTGCTATGTTGACATCCAATCGTGGTTTCACCTTAATCTTCAGATCTGCTCGAACTCCCAGACTTGACTACGGCAGCAAATAAGGACCGGCATTTCATCCTAATATGTACAAATTAGCAAAACTGACACCCAAGAATCCAATTGCACACTTTGTTCTCTACCGACATTCACCATCTATTTCTTAGCGTAAGAGCAACTTCCAGGCAACTTTCAGAAACCGTATCGTAGCTCATCGAGCAACTTTAAAACTCACAATCCTCGAGCTCCAGGAAATAATAATAATAATAATAAAAAGAAATGCTTGGGCTTGGGCTAACGCGCGAAATTGGCTTTGGCTTCATACCAAGCTGGCAACGCACCTGAGTGACCACGGTAGTGTTGTCCTAGTCTCGTAGTGCTCCATGTTTCGCTTGGTCTCCCCTGTCAAAGTTGCGTTATTTGCCCTTTTCAAATCGATAGTTGGTGAACGTAGGTACTTCCTCGTTTTATTAAACTTGTCGATTGGATTGCGTGCCACACATCCCAATGCGCTTTTTCGGTGGATAACGGAAAGTGGAAAGCCGCTTTCGACCAAATTGATTGCAGCCCTTGACTCAGGCTTGCTACATGTATGGTTGTCATTTCGTACTGCACAGACCGGCAGCAGATCAATATTTTTCGTGTTGTATTTACGGCTTGTCTGCCTCTATTCCTCGTGGCGATGAAGCTTCGCGCTCTATGCTGCCACCGCTACTGTACTAATAGCAGCCCGCTTTTGTCTAAAGTCAATCGGTTGTAGAATTGTTAGCAGCTCTTCTTCGCTGATCCCAGAGCTGGGACATCGAACGGATCACTATAATAGGGACCGCAATGCTCCGCGTCCACGAAATCGCACAGACAAATCCGTGAAAAACACAGATTGTGAAAAAGGTGTTTTTGATAGAGGGCGGTAGTGAGCGGGTGTGAGGAGCGTAGGCGGGCCCAGCGATGAACTCACCAGCGAACGGACCCGCAACACTCTCCAGAACAATGCGGGGGTGTGGGTGCAACCCCCAGTGGCCCTTATCCGGTATACCGATATTTCTGTGCAATTCTACCGTAGGTTCTGTGGATTTGCTTATTCTGTCTGTGCTATTCTACCGCTCTCCTCGTCCACCCGGTGGACCACCGTGACGCGACGACAAAGTTAACCCACGTCTTGGATGATTGCGTCACTCGGTCCTGCTCGCTTTGCCTATCGTTGAGACTCACCAATGAGTAAGTACCGATAGGATACCGGCACTGTATGATAGTTCAGCTGTATTCTAGTGAGTATTGGTGTGTACTACTGTACACGTAGTATTTTTGTATTTTTAAGTGAACGGCTACGGACAAAAGCAATTCATGTTAAAACTCTGATAATGTGTAGAATGAGAGTTTGTTTATTTTGCTATCTATGAATCTAAGTTAGCTCAAATTCCTACTTTTTCTGATAGTTCAGGAAGCGCATCGCGAGTAGTGTGAATATGCCGAAGATGACGACAAAGAGCAGTAAGAAGCCGCAGTTTCTCCAAATCTCGCTGTGTTTCATCAGGAAATTCGTCTCCAAGTACTCCTTCACAGTGAGGTTCTCGGGAAGTGATGGTGGCACATTTGTCATCCGTGTGCATCCCAGATCTCCGTCACTGCTGCAGTCTCCAAACACGACAGCTGAGAACGCTGCGGTGCTGTACTTCATCGGGGTGATATCATACAACCACACAGTCGCCGATGGCAGTGCAGAAGCTGGTGGACTGAAACCTGAGAACAGGTATCCGAGAAGATTTAGCAGCACACCGACGATCTCCGCCACTTCCAAGTTCGGCAACAGAAAGACGAGAAGTTCAGCCATAAACGCTTGATGCAGCACTTGAAGCACCAACACCAACCACGAAGTAAGAAAAGCTCCGATACCTGAAAACCCCACTGTTGGGAAGAACGGGATCAGGAACAACAGTACTGAGGCGGCAGCGTACGGGATCTCCATGACTCCGAGTCCGAAAAAATACCAAAAGGCATTGTAGGTTTGAGCTGCCCGTTCGCGGTAAAATACAGCGCGTTCTTCGTAAGCTATCGGGATCAATCCGTTGAATGCGATGAGACCGATGAAACTCGTGATCATGTAGATCATTCCCAAACCGGAATTCACTCCGGAATACGTCTCATACTCGGTACGAACGTACGTGATCCCATACGCTATACCCATTCCAAGCGAGATAGCGAACCGTGTCAAGTTGAACGAAGCCGTTCGCCAGTAGAGACCACAGAAGCGTTTCAACAGGAACTTCGCTTGGGTGAGCTCCGATGCTGCGCGTTTGTCGCTGAACTCCAGTGCAGGCAAAGACGGTGACGGTCGAGTCACACCTTCTTGGTCTAGACTCGACTGGAGACGCTCGAAGTGGGCGCTGGCTTTGAAGATCTCCACGAAGTCCGTCTTGTCTCCGTTGCTGTTACC